TGCACCAATCATACAGATTGTATGTGTATATGTTGCAGCCTTTTAGTTTTTATTTTTTGGTATTCCCTGGCCTTTAGGCCCACCAGCCAGATGGCATTACAACAAAATGGTTGCTGATCCTGTTCTGTTTTCCCTCAATCTTGATCCTCAATCTTCTAAGCAGTAAGTGTGTATACCTCAGAGTGATACTAGTGCCTTTGATCCACTCTTACCATAAGGCTAGGTTCACATCTGTGAGGGTGGTGCAGCTGTGGATCCGCACGAGCATCCGTGCAGCTGCACTACCCGCACAGAAAAATGCAGACCGGCGGGTGCCATTAGTTCTACTGGCACGCTGCCCGCACTGGAAAATGCAACCGTACTGGGAACCGGGGTTCCCGTGTGGGCTGCGTTTTCCAAAGAAGTGCAGGGACATCTTCCCTGCGTGTCACGAGCACAGGCATGGGAGTCCATTCAAATGAATGGGCTCTCGTGCCCTTGCAAAACGCGGCCCGCACCGCTGCATAGATGTGAACCGGGGGTCAAGCTTCATCCATAGCTGCCAAGTAAACAGGTAAATGGCCTTATCCAAGCCTACCAGTTAAATCCAATGACCGCCTGGTATTGGCATCATGTAGTAGTGACATGTCAATCTCTCCTCCTAACTTTATTTCAACTAAGAAGATGGTGAAAGGATTAATGGGAGCTCTATTATGCCACACCTTATGATGTTTTTGTATGTTTATTCAGCATTGAAGATGACATTCTAGTTATTCAAGAGGCTCTGTATCAAAGGAATGTTTTATATTTATACGTCTAACTTCCCTTGTAAAATGATAGCATTAGCGAAGCAAAGTGTTAATTTTTTTTTGTATTCTTTTACAAAGATACTTTTATTTACCAAGACATTACAAACTAACAGTAACAAATGAACGTAACTACTAAATACTGAAGTGTTTTAATAAATAAGCCCCACTTGTGTTTTAGCTTTAGGAATCCTTCAATTCTGTAAAACTCTGCTCAGTAGATTCTGTTATCAATAAACTGCCGGAATGGCACAGAATATAAATAAATATTGGTTATTTAAATTTCCCAGTCAGAATGATACAACAAAAAATACAACCAATTATCAAAGGCTACTGTTCCAGAGCAGAAAGAACAAAGTAGAATATTTTCACAATGCAAGAGAAACCACGGTACATTAAAATGAGGTGAGAATGGGAGGCCAACGAACCTTCAGCCACTTTACATGCAACACGCCGAGCATGTAAGACAAATTTACCATAAAGCTGGCATCCCGTTCAGGCTCAGCTGCGTTTAATTGCTTAAGTGCACACATACAAAGACAAAAATAAACTGTCAACAGGCAGAGAGGAAAGATCTGTTTAATGCACAAGCTGCAGAGAGGCTTTATAAAATGCCACATCACAAAACTAAGCTAGAAAGCTTTAATTAACTTCCACAGATTGCAATGTTGTCATTTCAAAATCACCCAGCTTTTAGTTCAAAACTAAATTAAGATCACTTCACTGCACTTTCTACTCTCTGTTCAGTATCTTGTATATGGCTCAATTTAACATGAGGATCTATATCCCCACTAAGTGAAAGCTTCTATTTCCGTTCAACACAGTTTAGGAACACCTGTTCTGGTCATAGCACTTAACACCAATAGCTACTGTATGGATTGTAATTATATAGCATTTCTCTTAATACATGTCATGTGGCCAAGGACAATGCAAACAAAGAAGAGAATTCACCCAGCTGTTTTTTTATTTATTTATTTATTTTTTTTAAAGCTCAACTCCAGGGAAAGAAAACGCTACCCCTGCAGTAGGCTCCCCTTGAACTGCAAGGGTTAAATGCCCATTTTCTCCCAGAACACCCTTAAAAATACTTGCTTTATCCCTTGCTCCTTCAAGCTCCTACTCTCCATGACCAGCTGTCCTGCACTGTAATAATGACACCATTGAGGGGTGTCCCACCCGCCCACAACCCAAAACGTCAGAGAAGAGGAGAGCACCAGCTACCGTTGGCACCCTTGGCAGAAATGGACATTTACCTCTTGCAGCGTGGAAGCCACATGGCAAGGGTGATTTCTATTTCCATTTCCCTAGAGTTAAGCTGTACTTTAAAGAGAATTGGAGACTCCTCCACATTTGGTACAATGATTGAAAAGAGGATTTCAGTTTTTCATGCAAAATGGCCTTATTTTTTCACCTTCTGCCATTGTAGGTTTTATCAAAACTGAGATCTCCAACTTACAGGGCCACCTACTGGAAACATCTGGTATTACAGTTCCTGTCCGGTACTTGTAAAGGTATTACTGCTTGGCTGATGCCTAGGCACAGCCAGTCAATCGGCAGCTCTGCCTGAACACTCATCCTCTGATGTATCGGAGTCTATTTTGAAAACTGATCATGTGAGCAACACTGGAAGGATCTAGTAGCAGGGTTTTGTTCACAAAAGATTTTTTAGATTTCATTTTGTTCACAAAAAGTATTTAAAACGTTATAGGTGTTCTTTAATCAGGTTTCATGAATATAATGTCATTTTAATGGTGTATTCTTCAGTTGTCTAACCTACTTACAAAAGACAAGGTTCACAAGCCAAGCAGGGAAAGACAAAATGTATGTTCAGTTATAAGATTGCAGTGAAAATTACACTGCAATTACGTGTTTCTGAGGAGTCAAACTCCCTGTAAAGTACACAAAAAATATTTCACTGCTTGACCATCAAGGTGAAAGGCTGACCGAAGAAATGGCAGCTATGTACAGACAATTATTAGTAAGAAGGGTGCTAGATCTTCAAATTTAGATGGCTATAGGAAATACACATCGTAAACTAGATAATATATAATTATAAACACTAACTGTTATAAGCACTTAGCAACTACTGTAGGTTGATCAGTATAGCAGATTTCACTTAGCAACCATAAAGTTAAAATAAGCCTGTACTAATGTTAACATTAAAACAAGTCAGCAAAGCAGAGACTATAAATTGCCTGTATGGATCTTTGTCTTTATGAAAGCTTCTGAGCTACTCCAGCGCCCTCACATCCCTGTTGCACATACAGTATCTTAGAATATTTGGCCCGCTTAGAGCTTTATTAACCACTAGCACCCCATAAAGCAATGCAAGAGCAATGCAAGAGGCCCTCATTACCGTGTAGGATGCCAGGGCAGAACAAAACTTTTGGAAAATGTAAACTTGAGTTTGGGGGTTACCTGCGCAAACACAAGAAGCTTTGGAGACATGTACATAGGTAAAAGAGGGTATGGTAGTCCCTTTTCTGGAATGCATTTTTTTTTGCAAACTTTGGAATGTTTCACATTTACATTATGCAAATTAGTCAGTATCTGCTCCAAAAGAAAGCTATGTTCACTGAAGTGACTTCACAGCAAGGCCTCATTGACACGGGTGTACCATGCAAAGGGCCATCTATGCCAGAACAGGAGTGTCGTGTAGCCATGTACAGGCAGCCTGTTAAAAAATCAGTGACAGGCAGACCTACGTGGATCTCCAAGCGCATCCCCGAGTGTACATCAATGCGGGACCGATGCATGGCTATACAGCTGGAAATGCCCTTGGAATGTGTGCAGCAATCCACCGGTCATCGATTCTAACAGGCTGCCTGCCTGGAACACCTGAGCCTCCTATGTGGGTAGAGGCCAAACAATACGGCAGTGGGAATAAGCCCTAAATAAATAGTACTGCAGATTCTGAAAACATTCTAAGACATCAGATAACAGTTTGATGTGGTTGTATAATCCAACTATGTCTAGATGCCTGTGTACACAGCTTGAAGCATAAATATGAATGCTTGGTTTGCCCCAATCATTTGTGTCTACGCTGTGGAGTGGCGAGGAGGACCAGAGGCCAGGAGCAGAGTCTGTAGGGGAAATACTTATTACTGCTGTTGGTCTTTTAGTGTTTGCTCAGTCCCCAAACCCGTAAAAGTATATCTAAAGCCTTTTTTCAAGTTTTAGTCAGGAATTGTTAAAACACCAGTTTGTTTGTTTTTTCTTTTGCTGTGCCTCATTCAGGAAATGTTGAAGCGGAGCTCCACCCAAAAGGGGAAGTTCTGCTTTAAGGACTGCTCCCCCGCTCCCCATTAAGGATTGGCACCTTTGGGGGACGTGGGGGGAGCGGGAACCCGAATTTGACAGGTACCTGCTCCCACGTCCGGTCCGATCGAGGGTGTCCTCCCTCCCTGTAGTCTTTTGGGACACATGACAGGTCCCAGAAGACTACAGGCCATTCGTGAAGCGCAGCGCTACTCACACATGCGAATGGGTACCCGGCTGTGAAGCCACAAGCAGTCACAGCCAGGTGCCCACATTGAAGATGCCGGCCTCCAGGAATACAGGACGGCCGGTGAAACGAGCTGCAAGGGACACACCGTGGGACCGAGGGACAGTTAAGTGGCTGTTTTTTAAAAGTCAGCAGTTTTTGTAGCTTATTTTTTTTGACAGGGTGAGTGGAACTCCGCTTTAATGTACTCCCTGCAATAATCTCTAGCATGTCACCAATTCACTGAGCAACAATTAGAAAGTGAAAGTAGCTGCATTTCAGTGCAGTGGAAATACCAGACTCAACAAAGCTTTAAAAATATAATACTTATTTACTAAGTCAGCAATTTATAGGACTATAATAAACTACATTCTAAGAAGTTGCTTTAGTTACTGCACATTGCTGCTCTTTGCAATGCCTTACTCAACTAGCCAGAAATTAAAATAAAAATGTGATTTTAAAATACACAAATAAATTGGAAAATAGGCAAATATACAATGAGCAGTTTCTGCACTGTATGCAATTCTGGTGTTATCTGAATCTGCTATAAATTGAGTCAGAATAGGCCTTTTTAACAACATAAAGCTAACAAAGAACTGAGTTTATGCAGCTTGAATCTGGGACCTTCCAATTGTTTACCACAAAGAGTACATGTCAGCTATTCAGGCAGGTTAACCACAGGGAGAAAGAGTGATGTTTTTTTCCAGTCATTTGTCAAGCCATCTACTTACTGAAGCCCTGGCTTCTGCAACCCTGGCTTTTTTCAGACGGGTCTTTGCAGCGTCTAAATCCAGTCTTTTATTCTGCAACAATTTCCGTTCTTTCTAAAGAAAGTGAAAAAGAAAAGGAAAGAGGTGCATTAATACATCTGTAGAAAAACAGCTTGATAAGCAGAACAAGGAGTAAACATTGGGAGAAAACGAATGACAAACAGGTCAAAGTAATGCCACAGGTATTTCAATTTCCAGAGGAGCAGCTTGCTTTCAAGATCTGTGTAACTGAAACTCTGCCCACAAAAATGTAGAGAGTAAAACAGCTCAGTCTCATCAGCACAAACAGAAAAACTATGAACAGCTAAAATTCAAAGGGAATTTTAAGCATAGCAAATCTAATTGAACACTTTCCTGTAAATTGTTAATTCTATTAATGGCTCTATGAATCACAAGAGGGGATCACAATGGGGAAAGAAAACTGTAAGGAACTGACCAACTTATTTTTGCTGTGGTGAAAAGCTTTATGTGATAGGTAGGTATTAAAGGTCCTACTCGCTGTCCATACTACAGTCCATTAAAGTGGAACACTTAGTTCAATAGAGTACATACTTTAAAAATTCACACTTTTAAAAATGAACTGTTAAAACAAAGTTGGTAACATGATATAGTCAAAAGGACATTGGCAGGAGATCTGCACTGCTACTAAAGCTAGCCATACATGGCTAAATCAATAGGATCCTCTGTATACCATGGATGGAGGAATCTGAACTGGTGGCTACTTTATTCGAGAACTGCAGCACCCCAGTTGCATGAATACCCCAACACTAGCTGCATCTGACTTTGCATTCGCACTGCAGTAACTGTTTGGCCAACTTTTTCTTCATTTTCACCCGGCTTCTTTAATTTTTCAATCAACTTTTCTTGAGCCAGGGGGTGCCTGGCTCTGTATGTCCAGTTTAAGTCATAGTGGCAGAGAAAGTAGCACAATTGCTGCCATTTTATGTCATTGTTAGCACTATGGCCCATTAATTTCGGGTCATAGGTCAGAATGTATAAAGATTGCTGCTTGCAGAACAGTAGTGGAAAGGGTATGTCATACTAATTTGAGGGAGATCTTGCAGATTACAGATAACCAACCCCCCCCCTCCCCCCAGAAAAAAAAAAACAAACACAAACTTCCACTTAAACCACTAAAAAAGGTATACACACAAGGGTAGTGGAAAGGACACGCACACACAAAAAATTAAAAAAAAACAAACATCCATCCAAAAACCCACAACTTTCTATGCCTTGCACAATTGGATGCCAAGAATTTAGCACAAGTTCATGCAGTAAAACTGGGTGATCCCATCACATATCTGAAAGGAGATAGTCTTGACCTTTATTCTTAAAAATGTAACAGGGTACGTTCACACTAGTTTTGTTAGCAGGCGTCAGACAGGCCTTTGGGAAGCGTTTTTAATGCTTCTCAAAGGCCTCTGAAAATTCGGCACATGGCAGCACACAGTGTCGTTCACACGGAAGCGTTAGCATCGCGGAAAAACTGATGCTGCGGGTCGAGTCAGGAGGAGTTGAAGCCTCCCATTCAAGTCTATGGTGCCTCTCCTTGGTTGCGAGGCGTTTGCGGAGCGTTAAACCATTTAAACTTCATTATAGGAGTTTGTGGTGCGGTTTTAAAGTTTGGCAAACACCTATCAACTGCCTCAAAACTGTGAATAGGGCGTTTTGGGAACGTTAAAAACGCTTCACAAACGCCTAACGCTTGTCAAACGCTATAGGGGCGTTTGGCAAGATTTAGAAAAAGTCAAATGTGAACAAGCCCTAATAGAGGAAACACAACAATGTAAGTAAATGTTTTTAACCGCTTCCCGCCCGCAATGTACTGCGGCAGCTACAGGCAAACAGACGTACCTGTACGTTGCTCTAGCTGTATTAAGACAGGGGGTGCTGCGCACCCGAGTGGGTGAGCAGCGCTCCCCTCTCACGACTGCTGTGTCCGGCAGACACAGAGAAATGAAGATCTCGGTGAACGGGACCCAGTGATCATGTGATTGCTATGCAATAACATGATCACAATGTCAGCAAAGCTGCTATGAATCAATGTCATTCATAACAACTCTGCTCCTTTTTTTAGTGAGCTGTGATTGGTCCACAGCTGTCACATGATACATGGGACCAATCACAGCACCCTGTACCATGTGACCAGCTCCAGCCAATCACAGATCACTATCCTGAGCTGTCAAAACTTAACTCATTCATGACAGTTCATGAATGAGTTAGGTTCATGACAGCAAGCTTTGCATTGCAAGAGAAATAATCTTTAATTAACTCTTAAAAATTTAACACTACATTTTTTTATTTTAAATTCTCAATTCTCTATTTTAACATTTTTTTTTTAATAATTGTTTTTCAACTACTTGCCAACTGCTTACCCGCATTTTTCAGGTGAGCAGCAGCACTTGGCAAAGCAACTTAATCTTGCATCACTTCATATTCTAGAGTGTGAATGCACCTGCCCCCCACTATAGAGAAGAGAGAACACGGCACCTAGTAAAAGCACTACATTTTATACATACACACACTAGATTAGCACATTTAACCCTTTGATCACCCCTATTAACCCTTTGATCACCTTCTCACCCAACCAGTGCCATTAGTGTCAGTATATAGAATTTTTCACTGATCACTGTATTACTGCTACTAGTGACATCAGATAATGTCAGGGTCAGTAAGCGCTCCACCCAGCCAGGGTCAGCTAGCGTTAGATTGCCCTCACACTATCGCACTTATGCTATAGGTCGCTGATCACCGCCATTACTAGTATAGTGTTTGTACGGATCAAGATATTGATCACGTACAGAACTATACTAGTGCCTCCTTTGTATCGTGTCCACAAAAAAAAAAAAAAAAAGTTAGTAGGATCGGCCCCGTTCGCTGCAAGCACTAGCCTTTAGCCACTCCGCTGTTTTTCACAGAAGATTTATATCAATTGATTGTGGGCCAAGGCAATTTATATGCACAACAATACATCACCGCCCACCCAAATTCAGCTCTTGCCAGACAATTTTACATGGAAACCTATCACGGTTTCTGAATTTAAAACTTTTGGGCCTAACCCTCAACATGGGCATTACAAAAAAGAATGAATTGCGATCATATTGGTCCACAGTCTTGATTCATCGTATGCCCGTGCTCTCTGCTGTTACATATATGCCCAACATGAACCAGCAATGTACTGGTACGTCGCTGGACTGTGACTGGTTATACCGGGATGATGCCTGCAGCTACACACATCATCCTGGTATCATTTTTTTCAGCTGACGGTCAGCGTTCATGTAAAAGCAATCCTAGTGGCCAATCAGCTGCTGAATAGTATTTACGAGCAGAGGGAAGGGACATCACCCCCCCCCCCCTTCTGCCTTCCAGTTTTTTTGGGCTCTCCCACAGGAGAATCCAAGAATGCAGCCGGCAGTTCTGCTGGCTGACCATAGAGCTGGTCAGAGACCAGAATGGCTCCAATCAACTCTGCAGTCTAAGAAGCTGGGAGCGACAAGCATTTCACCACTTCAGTTTCGCAGGATAGAAACAAAAAAGAATCTAGGACAATGCCCATTGAAGTTATACAGGATATTTGCATTCCCTGTGATAGCATAAAAAGTGCTAACAGAAAAAAAAGGGACAGTGTAAAAATAATTGAAAAAAAAAACAAACAAAAAAAACAGAGCCTTTCCCAAAGATTTGCGTTTGAAAACATTTTCCAATAAGAAGAAAGAAACCCTTTGAAAAAATGATATCTGTAAAATACTCACCATGCCTCTTATCAAATTTTGTTTTTAAAAATTGTCACATTCAAAAAAATTTGTGCCAAAAAATAAAATGTTCCATGGACTCAACATGCCTCTCTGCAAAATACTTTCTACTTTCCAAAAAGGTGTCATTTGGGGGAACATCTTAGCACCTCAAGAAATGTGATAGGCAGTCAAAGTAAAAGCTATGTAAATTCCAATATACAGTTGTGTTCAAAATAATAGCAGTGTGTTGAAAAAAGTGAATAAAGCTCAAAATCCTTCTAATAGCTTTTATTTCCATACACACAAATGCATTGGGAAAACTAAACATTCTATTCCAAATCAAAACATGAAGAAAAATAAATCAAATTTGTGGTGTTCCTCTAAAAAAAAAAAAAAAAAAAAAAATGGAAGAAAAGTGAATATTAGACTGTTCAAAAAAAATAGCAGTGTTTGTATTCTTCTTTACAAACTCAAACATTCACTATATATACTGAAAAATGTTTGAAGATTTTGCTTTCCTTTGAATCACTTAATGAATATTTAGTTGTATAAGCACTGTTTCTGAGAACTGCTGTACATCTGTGTTGCATGGAGTCCACCAACTTCTAGCACCTGTGAACAGGTATTCCAACCCAGGATGATTGGACTACATTCCACAGTTCTTCTCTATTTCTTGGTTTTACCTCAGAAACTGCATTTTTGATGTCCCCCCCACAAGTTTTCTATTGGATTAAGATCCAGGGATTGGGCTGGCCACTCCATAACGTCAATCTTGTTGGTCTGGAACCAAGATGCTGCACGTTTACTGGTGTGTTTGGGGTCGTTACCTTGTTGGAACACCCATTTCAAGGGCATTTCCTCTTCAGCATATGGCAGCATGACCTCTTCAAGTATTCTGATGTATTCAAACTGATCCATGATCCCTGGTATGCGATAAATAGGCCCAACACCGTAGTATGAGAAACATCCCCATATCATGATGCTTGCGCAACCATGCTTCACTGTCTTCACAGTGTACTGTGGCTTGAATTCAGTGTTTGGGGGTCGTCTGACAAACTGTCTCCGGCCACTAGACCCAAAAAGAACAATCTTACTTTCATCAGTCCACAAAATGTTGCACCATTTCTCTTTAGGCCAGTCAATGTGCTCTTTGGCAAATTGTAACCTCTTCAGCATGAATGAATGACCTCACTAATAGAACTCCACACTGTATTATTTTGAACATGCCCCTTTCAATTAGTGATTCAATTACACAGAATCAGCAGCATGCATGTCATGACTGTTAGGTCTGTTGGATTTCTATTACTCTACTACACCTGC